CCCCACCAAATTGGGACCTAATGGCTGTGGGGCGGAGCAACTTTGGATAGGTGGTGGGGTGAGGTCTCCTTTGGCGGAAGTTCAGACTTAGGTGGGGAGGACCCAGGGCCTGAGAAGGGCTTTGGGAGAAAAGGGCCACCTTGTTTTGTAAACTTCGCTCAGTTGTGCCTACAGCCCCTTCCCTCCCCGGACTCCCAAGGAGGTGGTGACCCCCCCACTCCCAGCCTGGGAAGCCAGCTCCCTCCAGCCCAGCGCTGGGCCTGGCAGCAGGCCTCCCAGAGAGTCCTTACAGAGGCCTGGGGAAGCCTCAGCCGACCACTTGTGCAGTGGGTGCCCACAAGCCAGGGCCTCCCACTGCTACCTTGGTTTTCAGGGGGACCCTGAACACAGACTGGAAAAAATGGCAGAAGGACCTTCCTGACCCGGGAGTCAGGGGAAAGTAGCAGAGGGAGAGAGAAGGTGTCGCAGAGGGCGAGAAAGAAGGAGCAGGCCTGGCCCAGCCCTGGCACCAGGAGGCTGGCCAGCCAAGAGAAGGCGTTCAAGAAGTGACCACAGTGGCCGCTGGGCAGATGAACAGACAGACCCTGCAGTCGGGGTGGGGGTCTTTAGACGGGAAAGGTCCCACCACACCGCATGAGCACCCAGTGGTGGGGCTGACCACTGGCCATTGCCACTCTCCGCTCTCCTGGGAAGCCCAGGCCCCCCTTGCACTGTATACAGCTGCCCGCCCCCTGCTGTTTATTTATTGCACAAATCTAAGTTATTCTCCCCAGCCAGGGCCCTCAGGCCCACTTCCTGCGCAAAGTGGGTGTGACCCTGAGCTGGACTTTATATTTTATATCTACAAATAAATCACATTATCTTATATTTAGGGAAAGCCAGATGGAACAATAACCAAAAAAAAAATATTTTTAAAAAATTGCCTGGCACCCAGAATTTATTTATTTTCTGACCTACAGTAAGCGAGTTATCCGCCTTCTGTATTTTATAGATTCTCTGAATAAAGTTCTCTTTTTCCACAAGGAAGTGTGTGTTCTGGTATGTAGGGGGTGTTTCTAAATGAAGGGCTAAGATGGGGTTCTGCTTTCAACCTCAGGTAGGACCTTCTGCTGGGGAGGGGGCAGGGGAGCCCCTATTTGCTGATGGAAAACTGCAGTGTAACTAGCTCATGTGGGCTGGTTTGTGGGGGCGCGGCAGTTAGGGGCGGGAGCCCAGAAGGGTGGTGCTGAAACATCTGTGCTTCCGTCTGTTTGCCTGGACCCCAGGGGCTCCCCGGGGAGCCAAACCAGGACAGTGGGGTTACATTCCCTGGGCGTCCTTTCAGCATGTAAACAGTCCGGCCCAGAGGAAAAAGTCTGAGCTGAAGCGGAATCTTTCCAGCACTTTCACATGGAGGTCTGGTGTCCTACTGCCAAGTAGGAAATATTTTCCCCATGTTCCGGAAGGCACGGGGAGGAGAGCGCGGCTCCCAGATTCCGGCCTGCCGGCCTCAAACGCAGCCCTGTGTCGCACTAGATGTCACTTAGGCCCCTCTGCGGCGCTCCCACCCCCCATGGGAGACTCCCAAGGAGGGCCTGGCGCTGGGGCCTGCTGGCCAGGGAAATCCGGCTTTGGACTTCGATGTCTTTTCTGAGCTGCGTGACCTTTGGTGGGCGACTGATTCGGCTTCTTGCAGCCGAGTCCCCAGTACAATAAAGGTACGTTCCTAAGGGCTCAAGTAACCAGCACTGGAAATGAGGCAGGGGGCGCCTGCCCACCTGAGCACTGGGCTGCGTGGTGGGCGCGGGAGCCTGGTGGGCTGGGAGAAAGCCCTGGGGAAGGCCGATGTGCTGGTGTGGGGAGGGCCAAACCACACGGGCTGGCTGGTCCTGAAGCATGCCTCTGCGGTGGGGCTGGGCGGTTTCCCTGCCGCCCCTCCATCCCGATCCCGAGGTGCTGAGCTCAGGCCGGTGGGCAGGGCAGAGGAAGCTGTGGGAGGCAGGGAGGTGACCGCTGCCTGGGAATTTCCCCCACCCACGCCGCATTCCTGAGCACTGGGTCAGCAGCAGGCAGGCCCCTAGAAGGCATGCAGGAGGTGGCAGTGGAGGGCGCTCCGTGCCAGGCACCTGCCTGGCCAGCCCACAGCCCGCCAGCCCCATCCCTGGCCTCCGCGCCCCTGAGGGGCAGCACCTAGGGGCTCGGGGGGCGGGGGGAATGAGGAAGGCTGAAGAGAGCGGCGAGGGGGACCCCAGGAAATCTGACACCTGCTGGAATGTGCTGCAGCTACGTGAGCCCACCCAGCTGGCTGAGCCAGAGGAATGCGGTATCGGCCCTGGGGGCCCTGCTGGCCCGGGGAGCAGAGACACTGTCCAGAGGGGGCGGCGACCCCAGTTTCAGTGTCTGCAGTGCGAGTCTCCCTCACCGAAGCCCACACGCTCAGCGCCGGATGGTTCCCCAGGACACCCTTGCCCACAGGCGCCGCCCGGAGCCAGGGTGGGTGGGGCACGAGGAAGAGGGCGGGAAAAACCTCAGCACAGGCAGAGAGGTTTTGTACAATCTATATTATCTCATATATATATTTCTTTCTCACTTTGTTTGCTCACTTCTGTCACGCGTTTAAAATGTCACAGAGACCAAAATAGAGCGCTTTCTGGTGGGACGCGAGGCGGTCACACACGAGATACAAAACTAGGGGCTCTGGCTTCTCGCACCATACCACCCGCTTTTCAAGTACTTTTTATGTACAAAGAGCTACTCGATGGGGGAGGGGCAAATTAAAAAACAGAAAGACAAGGTTCCGCATCCTAGGAAAGAGGGGTGACAGGCCTGGCTCCCCAGCCCCCATCTGCCCAGGGGCCGCCAGCTCGCTGCCCTGAACCCCCTCTCCACCCCATCCGTGGTGGGCACCCGGGCAAAGTCCAGGGGGCAGGGGGCGGAGCAGACTTTGGCCTGGAAGAATCGGACAGACTGGTGAAAGCAGACGGGGAGTGGAGTCAGAGGCCTCCTCAGGCCGCCCCGTGGTCAGCCGGGTCTGGCTGGCTGGGCCCACCGGCCCCGGGGGAGCCGGCTCTGTGCTTGCTGGGCCCAGCCTGATCACCAGGCGGCCAGAGAAGCTGCCAAGGTGGACGCCCACGCTGGCGCCTGCACGGTCCCGCGAGGGGTCTGTTCGCCCAGGAGTGCCCGAGGACTGCAGGGAAGCTCTGTCCCCTCACCCCTCTCGCAGGCTGCTGCCGCGGGTTTCGAGCGCCGGGACGGGACACCTCCTGCAGACAAACACGCCGCTGGTCGCCCAGGGCCACCTAGACAGTGGCCACCCGTGCGAGGCCAGTGAGGGCTCCAGGCGAGCAGTGGGGGCGCCGCCGAGGGGCCGGGGGTCCTGGCCACCAGAGGCTGTCCAAGGGCGCCGCGCCGGGCCCTGCCAGCTCCTCTGGGTGCCAGCCGCGTAACGGAGCGAGGGCCCAGGGAAGGAGCATTCACGTGTGACTAAGGCACGGAGGAGGCGGGCCAGGGCTGGACAAGGCAAGACGCCCGGGGCCGGGGAGAGAAGTGTGAGAACACCCTCCCACCTCCAGCGGCCAGCGGCAGGCCCCGCCCCCACGCCCCCTCCCTCAGCACTGTGGCCGGGGAGAAGGGTGGATCGCCCCGACCCGGTGAGCAGCCAGGAAGCAAGGGCTAGGCCCCAAACGCTCGAAGAGAGACCCCAGTCAGGGGGCAGTGTGGGCTGTGGGCTGTGGTCAGCAGACCGGGGGAAGGGCGAGGCAGGTGGAAGGTGCGTGCTCAGGGGAGACCCCCCAGGCCCACAGACACTCCCGCCGGCTGCTCAGAGCGGCACCTGAGCACCCCCGGGTGGGCTGCGGCTCTGACCCTCGCGGTGCGCCGGCGGCCTGCCGGGGGAGGGGGCGTGAGGCTGAAGGGTCGAGGGGGGCACGGTGTGGGAGGGGCAGGCCAGAAGGAGCCGGCCCCGGTATTGCACGGTGTTTGGGCGGGTTCTAGAGTCTGGGGCAGGAAAAGGCCGTGGCCAGCCTGGTCACAACGCTGGGCCTGGGCACGGCTGGTCCCGAGCCACAGGGGCATCTCCAGGGTCTCTGCGCCTCGCCGGGGCAGGGCAACCTCGGCCACGTGCAAACACCCCTGACGGCTCCCGGCGAGCCGGCTGTCCCCTGGGCGGACAGCGTCCGGCCGCTGCCCCGGAAGCGCTGTGTCTCTGGCCCGGTCGAGGGCGACGCAAAGCCACGGGCCGCCCTCCCCAGCGGCCGCCGCCTAGAATTCGTCGTCGGAGCTGAGCAGGAGCGTCTTCTCGTGGTCGCGGGCGCCGCCGAGGCTGTGGGAGCGCGAGAGCCCGTGGGTGCTGCCGCGCCAGGGGGGCCCGGGCTCCAGGGTGGACTGCTGCGTGTACTGCTGGTAGGCGGGCGAGAAGTTGTGGATGGCGTCCTGCACGATGTCGTGCGGGTTCATGGTCTCCTTGAGGCTGCTGGAGATGCTCTTCATGGGGGCACAGTGGCCTGCGGGCAGGACCAGCGGGGGCTGAGAAGCGGGAGGCCAGGCAGCCGGGCCCCGGCCCGCGTCCTGGGCAGCTGCCCCTGCCGCCCTCTCCTGGACAGAGACGGGGTCGGGGACCTGCGAGGCACAGGAGGCCGCAGTCCTGCAGGGCGACTCGGCGCCACAGGAAGCAGAGCGGGCAGTCCCGAGCCATGTCCACAGGTGGGGGGCTGGGAGGGGCCTGGGCCTGCGCGGGGCCCCAGCTCCCCGGGGTGCACCGCACTCAAGGCAGCACCCAGAGACAGGCCCCGCAGGGGACAGGCCCGCTCGAGGTCCCTCCCGCACCCCGCCATGCCCGCCCACTGCTCAGGCCCCACAACCCAGGAGAAAGGGGTGTGGGTTCCACCTGCATGTCCTCTGTCGGGGACATCGCTAAAGACCCCCCAAAACAAGCAGGGCGATTCCAGGACGACAGACCCAGGAGGGGGCCCGGGGCGGGCAGGGTCTGCGCTCTCCCACCCGGGGTGCCTGTGGGGAGGGGCCGAAGACGCATGCGGCGAGCGGCCCGGGGCCGACGTGCAGGACAGACGTGCAGACCGACAGCAGAACCTACCGTAAGGGCCGTATGTCGGCACTGCCCGGCCAAACCCGGGCAAAAGCAGAGCAGGGGTGTGGGGTGGGGTTGGGGAGAAGCCGGAGAAACAGAGAAGACAAGAGACAGCTTTGTGAGCACCACTGCCCACGACCGGCGCCCCAGCCCAGGGCCCAGCCCCGCACCCCCTTCACCCCCATCTTCTCAGGCCTGCAGAGAATGTCCAGAGGGTGACTCCTCCCACAGAGCTCTCATGCTCTCTTGGGGGGGGGCGACCAACAGTGGGCACCCACAATGGTGGCTGCAGCTAAATCTGGGGCCCCACACGTCTCTCCAGGCTCGGCTGGAGGAGCTGGCCGGCGGCCTCCCCGAGACACTTCTCAGGCGAGGCAATCAGGGCCGGGCTGGCGGGGGGGCGGGTACAGCCAGGACCAAAAGCTGGGCACACAGTCGGGGGTGGCACCTGGCCCAGGCCCAGTGGGGCGTGGGGCGGGGGGGGGGCGCCGCACCCCCTGCTGGGCTGGGGCGCCAGAGCAGGATTCCTGGCCACACCGTTCCCGCAGGGGTGCCGTGTCTGAGGCGGCGGGGGGCTGGCACCGTTCCCGCAGGGGTGCCGTGTCTGAGGCGGCGGGGG